TCAGATCATATCCCATTTATTTTAAATATCCGCTAGATCACAAGATTGCTGATACAATTAAATTAAAACCTAAATCCTAGCACGGTCCCCTGGGAACTGTATCATCTGCCTCTGTTATACCTTTCTTGCTTATTGAACTCAGCCACAACCATCTTCTTTCAGTTTTCTGAGAACTTTTCCTAATCTGGAAGTAAATCCACCTGGTAAATGCTGTCATAACACCCTGGTATTGGACTACAAAATAGTGATTGTCCTTTTTTTTTTAGTGTGAGTTTAGCTTAAATCTTTTTCCTCCCCTAAATTCCCTTAGAAACTTGAGAGCTCCAGTCCCTACAAACTTGTGACATCCTATAGGGGCTTAAGATATACATTCTGAATAATATATACATGCCTCTTACTGTATCACTTTGTAAAGAATTATTACTATACAAAAAGGTGAATTTGTATTCTGATCTAATCTCAAAATAATTGTATTTTATTAGGTGATCTTTTCAACCTGTAAAACTTAATGAAATATCTAAGTTTAATCAAATATATTGCATGTTATTGTTTTATTTGTCTCCACTCCTGATCTTAAAACAAACAAAAAAACAAAACAAAAATACTATCCTATTTTATTTACCAGACTGCTCTGTTTTCCTTACTCTCTTTTTGTAGACTCATTTTATGAATTCTATTCTTATTCATAAATGGTTATCTACAAATTATTTTAAATGTTCATTTTTATCAAGCTTAAAGAAATGGGTATATATGCTGTATCTTGGTATTTTCATGGTGGGTAAAATTATATTTTTAATAAACATTTTTTTCTTTCTCTGAAACACCTAATGCTTTTTTCCTCAGAGGGCAAAATCTGTACTTTCCAAAGAACTATCTTATGATCAAATTGATCATAAGATACATAGTACTGACTAACCCAAAAAAGTGGTCATAGCGGTGCAGCAATCTGTAATTGTTTACTGGCAGTCTCTTTGGGTAGGTAGAAACAATTGCCTTTATCATTCATCCTATTTCACTGTTTCCTTCCTACCTTCTTGTCCATGTTGTTCCACAGCTCCAATTATCTGCAACCAACAAACAGTTTCGGAGGATGCCGTGTAGGAGGTAAGTTTGCCACAGATTTGACTCCTATTTTAACATGACTATTCTAAAGCACTGTCCTGAAGGTAGTATATCTATCCTTGTTATTACACAATACAGCTTTCCTAAATTGGAAATTGTTGTGCCCCACACCCTCTTCACTAGTTGAATCAGTCTCCAAGAGAATCAGGTGAATCTTACTATGAACCCTCTGAAAACAGTTACTGCTGTAACTCCTTAAGTTCTGTGATTTGACCATCATTAATTACCACATATTCTTCCCTTATGTTAGTCTCTGATATTGACATTAGCTTGAGTGTTCTATTTGCAAAATTCCATATTACTCTTACCAGAAGTGCCATTATAGTGCCATTATGCCTATATTTAGTCACAGACAATTATGTCTTTCCTTTACTCTCATATCATCTGCCTCATATTTTGTAGGAGAAAAAATGTTGAGCTCAGAACACATATAGATTTTTTTCTTATTTAAAAACAAGGTTTTCTCTGGTCAGTTCAGTGCAATTTAGGATGTTAGGATGTAACAAAGTTTAATTCATCAGCTCCAATTGCCAAGTTGAAATGGCTATTTCTACAATTACAACAAACCATATCATTAACACAGTCTATATTTTTCAGAATTTTATTTTGTTGAAGCAACATTTGTTGATAGCACGTGTGTCAGGTATATATCATTAAAAATCAACATCTGTATAAACTAATGACATCTTCTTTATTCCAAGTCACATTCCTTTTGTTACCTGGAGTTATTTTTCTCATCCCAGTTTCTTTATAAGATTAGGGTAAATTTCTCCTATTCTCCATAGAGATATTAAAAAAAAATCCCTTTCTCATATTTTGAAAGATGGTTTGCAACTATTTAGATTATGTCTAATACATTCAATTTTTTGTTGCTTTTTTTAAAGTAATTGGGGAAATGTGCTATGATGTAGTGTTTACATACAAAGAAAGTCTAAAACTGAAAATAAAACTGAAAAACTATTCTTTTAAATTATGGAGAAAATGCCATATTAAAACCTCCATACTAGTTAAGTAGCTACTGAAGAGCAGAATGGGAGAGAAGAGTAAGGAGATGGGGGGGGGGGGGCTGCAGATTTTCACTATAAACCTAAATATCCCTTGTTTTAAAGGAGATACTCTAATTACCATGAAGAGAGTAAATGTGAAACATTCAAATTCTATAAAAATAAGGTTTTCTGGTTTTCATAATTTTACAATTAAGTTTTAAATATGAACAGAGGTACTGGTGATTAAACCAAGTTGGCTATAGTGTTATGTATCAAGATACATCTATACAATGTTTAAGTTAATGTAAATCATATATTTTAATTATTGTGAAAAAACTAAAAGGCCAACACAACTACATAAAAGTGAAGATTCATCCTTCAATCAGTACTGAATTCTAGAGTGACTTGGAGATGTGTTTATTAACTCTCTCTGGTCTGTAAAGACCAATATTAGCAAACTACAATAAAGTTAAATGGCAATATAAATGATACTAGAATTATCTCTAAAGTCATATAATTTTGAACAATAATAAGTTAACCCACTTCAGTTTTTTCTCAATTTTTATTTAAAAAGTTCAGTAAAACAACATAGTATCATAGCTGAGAAATATCTTAATCTCACTATAATTTAACATTTAAAAATCTAATAATTTTTGATTTTCAACAATGAAATTTATAAAAATAATTTTACATTTATAAAATGAATCATGATTTCACAATAAATTATTCATTGTTATTACCTGGAAAAAGTTTTGTGCTATACAAAAGCAATATATTCCTTATCAATATTTTGAAAATATGCTGAAAACATCAGTCCTTTTTCCAGCATTTTTGGCAGTTAGGGACACAAAAATATATTACAAATTCCCTGACTCTAGGTATTAAAGCAATTTTTAAGCAGTAATTTCTAAAACAGAACTTTCTTGTAAATACAAGCAGATAAGTTAGAAAGTTAAACACAAATGAATCTTATGTTTTACTTTTGAAGTTTTCTTAAAAATATCTTTTCAGAGAATAAACCAAAAACTTAAACAGAAGCCTGCACAAGATATTTGTACTTATAAAAATCAAAATATTCTTATTCATGAGATAGAAACACTGGAGGACATTTTTAAATAACAGAGTTGAAAAACATTCCTCATATCTCCCTCTCTCTCAGAGATACATTTTGCAATTTCACAAAGGTGCCAGCTCTTGAGGTAATTTTTTGGTTTACTTAAGTCAATGTTAGCTTCTAAATGATCATTAGTCTGCATTAAGAGTTCAATTTCACTTTTAAAGGCAATAAGTTATAACATTATAAAACCCTAATTTTTGAAATTTTGAAAGGTCCTGGAAAAATCATTTCAATCAGTCTCATAACTTGGGGTACTCTATTTTATATCACCAATAAAACTCAAGCAGTTTTGCCTTTTATTAGCAATGGGGTGTGTCCTGAATCTGTGTATAGGAGAGAGGTGGAAAGGGGAGAACAAGTATGAGGCTATTGTTTCATGGGGTGACCCATCATTTTTGTTTTAAATAAGTTTCAGCTTCAAATGATATGAAAAAATCTGTACTCCTCAGTTCAGAATTAGATATTCAGTGTATACTGGGTCGCTGATTTTTAAAAAAATCTTCTAAATTAGTGATTTGCACTTGTTTTTGTTTTCATCAGAATTTATCTTGTGTATCTCTCATTTTCTGTAATGTGTTTAAATTTTTTAAGAGGATAACTCATTGACGATACAAAATGGATAGTTCTCTCATATGCAATAAATTTATACTCATTGCTTATGGCAAAATGTACTACAAGTAACATGATGGACTGTATTCAATCATCACTCAGCTGCTTCTGCGTAAAAAACACAGTAAGAAGCTCCTTTTATCATTCCTTACCAAAGATATACTCTTATAAGAATCAACCAGAGTTAGGCTTAAATGTGACTTTTCTACTCTTGGTTTATGAACTTGCTTGCAGTACTTGCATCCTCTACACTAATGTTTATTTATAAAACATTAAACACCTCTCCTTAAGGGTTATTGTGAAGAAAAAATGAGGCAACATGTGTGGATAAGATGGTTAATTTATCTCCTAGTGTCAGTCTCCCAACGTTGTATGATTTTAGTTGACACAATATTTTTCACCTAAAGATACTCTTGCAATTTCCTTGGGAACTACAGAGACCACATGCTAAATTCTAATAAATAGATAAGTGATTCTATATTCTTTTAGGAGAGAAAAATAAACATCTCTCTTGATTGAGCCACTGTTTTAGGATTTCATTTTATACTTGGGAAAAACATGTTTGACTTTAACATACTTCTTCAAATACAGTCAGATTTCAAAGACTATCCAGTTATCTCTGAAAAGGTGATTTATAATTTCTAAACTTCAGATACACATATTTAACATGGGCCAAAAGAATGTATTTTAACCATTGAAGAGCCATGTGATAATCTGTAGCTGGTTCTTCAAAGAAATATACCAAATGGCTTTATTTTTCTAATTTGAAATTGAAAATTTATAAAACATGGTTCAGTGTATTTTTAATCTGAGAATTCTGATCTACATTATTCAGTCAAGCAAGAGCACTTCAGTTCTATATCACATCACTATAAAGGGATTATTTACAGATTTAAATTAATATTTAGACAACAGGTGAAAGTGGAAATTGGAAAAACAGACTACATAAACATTAAACTGAGATACATTAAACTGATTACAACTGAAAGTTTTAAACAACAGCAACAATAAACAAAATAAGCACATAAACAAAACAATAGGATACCATCTTTTAACAGCACCATAAAGAAGTCTTGGCTAAGAGTTTGCCAAAAGTACTATCCTGAGATACTTTGAAACCAAAGATTTGTCACATTAATGCAGTGTCACTGGAAGTGAACATAATCTCACAATTGCTTTTGCTTGGAGAGAGACTGGTGTGAAATGACTGAAGCTTGATTGGCAGCTATTTTGTACTGTTCTTGACCAGAACCTTGTGGTGGGGAAGGAAGTGGGGTTTCAGGTGTTGCTAAAAAACAAAGCAGAGTTATGTGTTATGGTAACAATTACTACAAGTCGTCCTATTAAGATCTGCATGTCAATATGCATTATTATACCTAGGACATATTTTTAAATCATATATATAGCTGTAATCCATAAAATACATTACTAGTTCATTGTTACACATGGAAATGAACTTCTATCCTAGTTCTCCAAAGAGCAGTAAAATGGAACAACTTATGCTTTAAGGTATTCTTTCCCTTTCTTAATAATAAAGCTTATGATATTTGCTTTTCAACACAAGCACTGGGAAAAGTTAATCAAAAGAATTAACAGAATTTAATATATATTTTTCAAAGCATAGAAAATTATATTTTTTATAATACAATTGCCCATAAAATAAAATCTATTTGGTTTGAATTTCACTGACAAAGATATTAGATGACATAAAAAATTAAGGTGAGATAGTTTGCAAGAGCTTTGAAATGTATGTTGTAGTTTAAAAGCATCTGAAAAATAATGTTTCTTCAGAACTATTTATTCCAATTGAGTCTATCTATATCCTCCACATTAATGCCAACAGCAAATCTGAGCGACTGGAAAAAAAAAATTGGTTCTTAAATAATCTCATCTCCTTCCATGTCATTTCCTTATATTGTGTAATGACATTTAATGAAAGGATGTTATTTGAGGTCCAGAAGAGATTATGTATCTTTTTGCTTAAAGTTACAGTTGTCAAAATTCTATTAACTTGTCTACAATAGTTTTACCCTATTACAACTTTTAACACATTATAAAATAATCTAAGAACTATTCTATAGTTTTTAAAAGTGTGAGATATTTTCACATATTTCACATATCTAACAGTACAAATAAAAAAGTTTGGTGATCAGCCTGAGGCATTGTAAACTTCACAGAATTTCTTCCCAATTTTTTGAAATTCTATACCAAACAAGAACATTCCTTTTTTGCTTTAATACATTAATATTAACTTGATATATTTTTAATAAAGATTTGTAATTAGAAACAACATGCTAAATAAAGCTATTTGTCAAAAGAATACTGTTTTAAAATATATATATATA